AATATCCCTATACCAGAAACTGACAAGTGCTAGAAGTTTAATAAGCATGTGCAGAAGTTCTTAACATAATCCTGGCACATGGCAACCATTAGTTATATCTGGCAATTATTTTTCAGATAAGTAAATTCAATTATTCCAGGTGTTTCTACAGCCTAGCCTCGGACTTTCCAAGTTTCTACTTTAAAAGGCTGTGGAGATAGTTCTTAGTCAACTGTCCTGTCACTTCTCTAGAAAATCCCATTTAATGTCTAATTTGTTCATAATTTCACATCATCCCCCACCCCCCACCCACACACACTGTTGGTCCAAAGACAGCAGTACGCTCTGTAACATAAAGCCTGGTATAACCAATCTAACTTACTGGTTTTTGTTGCAAATCTTCGTGCTCAGGTTGAAATGAGTATGTGCCTCGTCTCAAACTCCTTGACTTCCCATAAGCAGACCTGCATGCAAAGTGTATGAAAAGGAAAAAGCACATAAAATAAAAGGTTTGCTTACTTATAAAGGGTCAAAGGCATAGGTCGCTGTGTCACCTCTGCGTAGCACCCAGCCTGACACATGACTTAGAAGTAGGAGGTGTGCAATGCCTGAAGGTTGAACGAAGTCTTAATTTTAATACGAAGGGGAACACAGTGGTATTCCAGCCTAGTAGTGTCGTATCTCAGAGGATGAAATTGAGGTCACAAAATTTCAACAAGCTATGACTAAATATCTAAGTTTTCTATATAGCCAGAACTATAATCCAAAATTCTCAAATACCAGCAGAAAACTTTTTCTTTGCCTTAAAACAAACAAACAACAGCAAGGACAAAAAAAAAATAGCATTTACTGAGGACTTACTCTGTACAGGGCACTTTATGCACATGCTGCCTAATCTTCAGGGAAAAAAAAATACCTGAAGACAACATCTATCACCGTATTTCCTGTGAGGAGACTGAGGATCAGAGTTTAGTGTCTTGCTCAAGATGATGTGCTGGTGAGTAGGAGAACTAAGATTCCCATTGAACTCTGTTTGATTTAAACACATCATATTAGCACTCATCAAAAACACAAAATGCCAATCAGTGAAGGAGCGATGGGGGCTTTCTCAAAAAAGCTAAAATCTTTTATCAATTTTTTATATAAAGAAAAGACTTGGACAAAACACATAAAAATTCATACCCAAATCAAGTGTTCATATTCAACCTCCCTGTAAGACCAGATGTGTCACTAAATGGGAATGGGAAGAGAGCCACGAAGAGAAGCAGACCTGGCTGGGGAATGACTCCAGGCCACCTCATGGAGTCACCACATGCAGATTCCTCATCTCAGTATTGATGAAGCAGATAGAGAGAGAACGGCCACACCACCACGTAAGGCAAAGAGTACAATATGCCCAGATGCATTGCAGCCCTTGCTCTTCTCCAGGGAGATGGATCTCTCAAGTAAAGTAGGGCCTGCCACATCACCAGACATTAACTCAAAGTATATTTACTTGCCATATGGATTCCAAAAGGTCTGAGTGTTTCCATCCTATCTAAAGGTCCAATGGGCAAGCCATTCTGTGCGCCATGGAGTCAGAGGACTGTGCGAGCTGCTGGTCTCTTCTCTGCCACCGACTGATGTCCTCGTGGTGATTCTTTTAGGCTTCCAGAGCCTGTGCTTCCTTTCGCATGGAACAGCAGTGAGAACACCAGCCACGGTGCTTCGCTGACTGCTAAGTGAGATGGTGACTGTAAGGCCTCTACCTGCCCTACCTGGGACTCAGTTCATTCCCTAAGGGTGGATGGTAAACATCAAGTCTCAGAACACACAAAGCTAAGGAAGCACATGAGAACCATATTAACCTCTCTGTGACTCTTTTAACAGTATTGCCAGCGAGAAAGAGGCAAAGTGCTTGCTTAAAGTAATCAAATTCAATTTAACTAGCATAAAAATGGGAAAAGAGATATGAACACTTGTCACCTACTTACTACCTATCAAGGATCTCCTAGAGATCATGAGCATATCTCTTTAAAACTCCTTAGAAATAAGAAACAAACACGTACACCACACATATATAGACAAACCTATATTTTTAACACTGTAAGGTTTGCTATATAAATTTAGATCAGGGCACAGCATGCCTGGGATGAGTAGGGTAGGAACAATATGTTCTTGCTTATGACACCAAGCTCATGACAAATGATTCATACCCAGCACCTTTCATGCCAGAAGATTCCCCAGGTGTCCTACCAGCTCTAGCAACAGCTTCTATCAAGCAAGGAGATTCAGTAGGGAAGAATCACATCACACCCACGGATGAGGCAAACAGTCATGTCTTTACACAACTGCACCAGTCCAATAGCTGAGGGGGCAGAAAAGAGAAAGGAAGGAGGTGTGGGAACAATCCAGAATCCCTCAGCAGTCTGACAGGCAGCCTATAATTACCATACATTTGCACCTAGAAAGCAGGTGATATTGTAATCTGAGGCTCCTCTTAGCACAGAATTTTTAGCTCAAGGTGAGACAGGTTTAGAAGACGTATGTTACTTAGGTCCCTGAATGGACTGATGGATGGATTTACGGGGCAGCACCTCTAGGTCTGAAAAGATGGGGGTCCTCAAACTTGCCCTCCAGTTTAGGTTACTAGATTTTGCACACTAGGAGGATGTGAGAGAATTCCAAAGAGGTGCATAGGACTTCACAGCGGCAGTGCCCTCTTATGTACCTCCTGGCACATAACCTTCTGTAATTAACCTGGCGGGCACTCAGGCACTGGCCCCACTTCACAGATGAGGAAATCCTTTCCCTGAGCACACAGAGTGTGCCACGGTCAGAGCACAAGCGAGCAAAACTAAAACTCAGGCTGCCGCTGTTTCCATTTCATAAATCTGCCCAGGAAGTTTCTTCCTGAATTCCTTCCCTCTAAAATACATTTGTGTGTCCTAGGAGCCTGCAGGTAGGTAGAACTGGAAGACCTAGATGCAACCGATTTCACTTTCTCTGCTACCTATATATGCATTAGTAAAGAAAACATGTTGCACGGAATGAGTAGGGCAGGGACATGAGGAGGGAACTCAATGCCTACAGAATAAGAGACTCAGAGAACAGAAATCGCATCTTATTACTTAATGTGATTTTTGTATTCATGCCTTTAACACTCCCACCTTCATTACTTCCTACATCATCTCCGATTTCTTGGTGTGTTCTCAGCCCTGACCCATAAGCAATATATATGTAAAAAAACAGCTGGGAGTGTTTGGAGCATTTCTTAAAGGGAGGTTAAATTTGCCAAAGATGTATTCTGTTATATCTCTTTCCAAGATCTTCCCACAGATGAACTAAAGTACAGGTCTAATGGGTAAGTGATATTTTACAGCTTGAATTACATTAAAAGCCAGAAATATCTTGAGCCCAAAGTTTCTTTAACTTCTTCATACAACAAGGATTAAGATTATAGCGTGATTAAAACCTCTCCTTAGAGCCAGAGCTCCGAGTTAACCACTTAGCACATGAAAGCTATTCATGCATGAAAGCTATTCATTCAGTTTTAGAAGATCCAAGTTCAGATTGCAGTATTAATTTTCATGGTTATGATATGAAAGAAACGATAGTTAACGTAAGGGATGAGGGCAAAAGTGTCCAGAACTTGAACAGAAATAATTTCAGCTTCGATTATTTGATCAAATCATTCCCCAGAACCACAGAATCAATCCACAGCCTCTGTCCTAAAGACTGCTTTAGAGGGAAAACCCTCTTGGCACTCCCAGTACAAACATCAATACTCGGTACCCTGTATCGTGTTTTGTTGTAAAACAAGGACTCCGTAATCACACGCTGTATTTCGAACTGCTCACATTAAAAAGCTAACCAGAAGCAAAACTCACTAAAGCGACACCTCTTTGGGAAGGTTCCTGGCAATGTCAGCACAACAAAATATATTTCGAAAGCTACCAAGTTGCCGAGGCTGTGCATATTACAAACACCACGATCTCCATCACCTGCCTGGAGCTGCAATTTGGATTTTTCCCATTTTATCTTTGGTTTTCACGTTCTTGTTTACTTAACGGCAGCCTGGAGAACTTTCCACACTTTAAAATCGGCTTCAGCTATCACCATGAAATCTTGCTCTCTACTACCGCAGCTTATTGAAGTTTCTAAGCGCTGTTTAAACCGGAATAACTCCCCCCAGACTGCAGACACGCAGGCTTTGAGGAAAATCAAAAACCCGCGCTGACATGACCACGGACTGGCACAGTAAGCCCCCCGGGTCCCCTCCTGGCATCCAGCAGTGCCTCTCCTGCCTTCACAGGGAAAAGCTGTGCTCTTTCTTGTGTGTGGTCAGGCATCGAAGTGAACAGGGGTTGTCGTTACTGGGATATATCTGATTTTCCGAGATTGATCAAGCCACAGAACAACTGCTCTTTCATGGGCTGGGAAGCCACAGCTTTCAAAACACACTTGCTAGTGCTGCCGGAGGATGCCGAGGATGCCGGAGTTTCTATCCTGAGGCTCGCACCCCCTTAGTTCCCCAAAGGGAGAATACACTAACTGCTCTCTGCAGCCCTTCTCCCTTGCTAGGAAGGGGTTAGGAGCTCCGCACAACACAAAGCGAGAAGCTTACAGATGTAAGTCTTCTTGACTGTATTGGAGCTGCTTTAGAAGTCCAGGCAGTAAAGGGAAAGTCACTGGAGGGAATGTCAGTGGGCCTGGAAATTTAACCCGTTCCTCTCCACACTAGGAGTACTTTCGCTCCCTTCTGCTTGCGTGGTCTTCAGTTCCACACGAACGCGACCAAAGAAACTGTAGACAGGGCTGTGCCTGCTCAGTCTCAAGCTTTATTTGGGATTCCGGGAGGATGCTGATGGTGTTGGCTTGGGACGGAGGTGGGAGCTGGCCTCTCGGGAGCTAAGATAACTCCGGAGGGATGTGGGTAGGGAGGCTGCAGTCTGCAGAACCTCCCAAGTCCAGAAGCCCATTTCCCGCACGCCCCCATCCCGCCCCACGGCCGCCCCTCGCCCGCGTCCGGCTCTACTCACGCTGCTGTTGTGGCCGGACCAGTGGACCATGGCTTGGTTGTGCGCGGAGTCCCCGGTCAGCGCGAACGTGGTGCTGGTCAGCCGCAGCTCCTCCGCTCGGAAGCGGGGCGCTCTGTCCGGGTCGCGCTCGCGGGTCGCGGGCTCGGGCTGCGCTCCGTCCTTCGGCGCGGCCC